ATCAGCTTTACTTCAGAAATATACATATTATATATAAAATTTYTGATATATAAAATATCATTTTTAATCCATCAAATCATTTTTAATTTTCAAGCATCCAGACTTTACTTTTTTAGACTTGAATCTCCTTTACCGTTTACAGCGAGAGAACCATTCACAAAACCAACCCAAACCGATTCAAACCGACCAGATTGGTTTTACTTAGTACTGAGTCAGTTTCAATTTTATTTCTAGGTAAACCGACCAGGTCGGGTTGGTTGAAAAAACGCCAATAAACCAACCCAACCCGACCCGTAAATAGCCCTAACAAAAGGAAACCCAAAGGGGTGAGCTAAAGATTCAGCTAAGCTCGTTAAGCCGCTTTGAAGAACTCTGGATAAACTATTTAAAAAAAGCTGATGCTGACAGTACTTGCCTCTTCAAATGACTTAATTTGGTCAGTTAGGCTCTCCAGATTTTTCACCATAGTTTATAGACTGTCCATGTTACTTAGGCCTACCCCAGAAAGCCAGCAAATGCTTGGGAGTGCTGAGCTGAAGATTCGGCTAAGCTGACTGCTGATTCAACTGCTTTGAAGCACTCTCGAAAGCTAAACAAAGAGACTAAAACGGACAGCCCTTCAAACAACTGACATGAGTAGATAGCAGATGATTTGGGTTCCCGGATTTTCACCAACATAGCTTATAGGCTGTCGATGTGAGGCCCACCTGGGAAAGCCAGAAGCCACTGCAATTAATCCCTCCCAAGCGGCATTAAACCATTGGCCGTAAAAGGCTTAAAAGTTGATATACGCCTGGCCTGGACACCTGGTTAGATTTTTGATTTCCTCTCTCTCTCTCTCTTAAGAAAAAGAGCTTTCATAAACGCTTGCCAAGGTCTTTTAATTTTCTCCGAAGCATTACAAGCCAAGAAAGAAGTCGGCACTAACGAGAGATGACTTGAGAAATTGAGTACAACAGAAGAAAATGACCCTAAGACAAAACAGGATGGCAGCTGAGGATCTCTGGCAAGGTCTGGTTCAATTGGCAATGTTCATCAAATATACCCGTAGCTTCCGCAAATGATAGAAACGGATTCAGTGGGATTTTAAGAATATATAGACAATACCCCGTCCGAATTTGGAAATTTAATTATGTTTGTTGTTTCTAACTACACAATTATCCAAAAAACCTTGCACAACCAGGTGGATTGGTAACTTGGTACTGCTGGTTCCTGCATTACATTTAAAAGAAATAATCTTTGGGCAAACACCACTAAAGAATACCATTCGAAAGTAAAGCTGCAGAAGCTTACTTTTGCATACTCCATCTTCATCGTTCATAAATGATTCCAATTTTTGCCCAATTCACACACTATTATGGATCCTTCAAAAAAAAAAAAAAATCTTCTATAAACAAAGCCACCAACCTTATACCAGATTACCTCCCTGACATCAATTCCGCTAGACCCAAAAGCTCAGGTTTAAAAAGAACATGGACACTATCTTACCTCAGTCCCAGGTTTACGGTGCCACCAAACTTGTCCTTAACTCCTTACCTCATGTCTAGCTCTAGAAACAGCAGCTTGCAGATAATGATAAAATCATATAACTAGAACACTAGGGGAAAGAAGAAACAAATAAAATATACAGCATTCTAACCTGTCTTGTTCAAAACTGTACTGATATTCACTCCCATAAGAAGAATATATAAATAACAACTCAATTCACAATATAGCTAGAACTCAACAAGTTCACGTTATTACCAAAAAGAAAAACAAGTTCACGTATATCCCTAGGTAGTAAAAGTTGAGGCAACAGGGGATGTTAAGTTGCTAACTTTAACAAAAGCTGTATGATCATTCTACTTTTGGAGTTACCACCAAATCTACTCTAGAGTCCGCACACAAGCAAGTTGTACAACTGAACCTACAATTGTGGCCCTTTTATCATAGAGAGAGAGAGAGAGAGAGAGAGTGAGTGAGAGAGAGAGAGAGAGAGATTTCATTAAAACAACAGAACAAACAGAAAACACAAGAGATAAACCAATACAACCACAATAATGACACACCTACAACTATCTGAGCCTACAAAGACCAATACCATAAAAAGCTCTAACACCAAAAGACAAGTTAACCAGTCTTGCAGACTGATCTCCAACAGCCAAGCTTGGAGGAGTAAAGAAGCACTCCCTCCACATAAATGCCACTTGCAGCAGCTTGGGCTGCAGCATTACCCACTCTTGGCAGAAAAAGAAACTTTACATTCAGGCCACAACAAAGATGTAAAACATCTTGAAGCAAAAAGACAAGAATCCTTCAACCACCCAATGCCAAGGTTCAAAAAACAAATAACCAACTGTTGACGACCACACCATATGATAACTTTATCAGAGCCCAACTTTTACGAAGGGATATGTGTAMACTTGCTAAAAGCAAATTGCTAAAACAAAAAGATCTGCACAAATGGAACAGTACATACATGAGGATGTTGTTGATAGAGAGAAGGGATCAAAGTTAAAGATAAAGAGTCTGAGTGGAAGGGGAAAGCAAGTTCCTTCTTCAGCTTTAACTAGACGTCTAGAGAACTTGGCAAGCTTGGTTTCTATCATCACATGTCTAAAATACATATCAAGTCACAATGATATAAGAGTGGTCAAAAATTGGAGCTCAATTTAAATATCTGATGAACTGAGATCAGATTGGCACGCTAAATAAGAAAATTACGTTGGACAGTGTTATATGGATATTCAACCAAAATTGGTCAGAAGCAATATAAATAGTATGTACTATGTAGAATTTTAACCAGCAAACCTTGACAAAACTACATGTATCAGGACATTGAAGATTGAATGCCATAAGAACCACAGATATAGACAACATGACTGATAGACTAAAAATACTGAGAATCCCAAAAGATAGAACACAAGATTGGAGAAAATCAGAGTAAACAAAATATGGTGAAAAAAGGGAAATGGTTAATACAATCATCCCATACCATCAAACTTCCAATAGGAACTTGACATACTCAATATGACCAATAATATAGGCCATGATCAACCTTTTAAATGCCTCAGTTGATACGTTAGCTGGATTGTTCCAGCAGAGACCAGAATTGGAATCCTGCTACCACCAAAATTTGGGGAGGGGGGTTATTTGTGGTGCTGCACTACTCAAATGGCCCCTATGGAGGATTCGGGTGCATCACCAAATTCCAAAAAAAAAAAAAAAAGAACTTCTAAACTTCCCTAGATGAAGAGCCACCATGAACGCTCTCGCTTGCTATCAGAAATTAAATGTATAACCATATGTCTCTAAAACCAAAGGAATCAAGAATGCACTGCCACAAGTGTACAGACTTGCAAACCCTACAAGAATCACCTTGAGCTTTAGCAGTCGCTATGATCAACAATGGTATACCCTCATTGTTCCCTTTCTATGATGGAGAAGCCACAATAAATACTAYCACATGCCATCAAGATATATTGATTCAAGCATATTACTCAAAAGTCACTCTGTTCAGTGTCATTATGCTTTGAGTGCATTAGGCATGCAACCCATCAGTATTTGGCAACAACCTGATTACCTGAAGTGACCTTCATGCTACCACAAACAAAACTTGGTTTGCATGAAGTTACGAATGTTTTAAAAGTCATAATTGTATCATAAATCATAGGGATGAATCGAATCATATTGTAAATTGTAAGGTTATTTCTGTTTGATAACTAGTACATCAAAGAAAAAGAGCGTAGGGACAGGCAAACTCTTATATGAAATTATTGTAAATAAGCTGTGCTACCAATAGGAAGGGTGCTCAGGATTATAATTAAATAACCAACCCCAAAGATAAGAGAGAAACACTGAATAACTGTCAGCTTAGTAAGTAGGCTGAAGGCACCATTTCTCCTTTTGGGAAGAAAGGGATCGATTGTGACCGATGTGACCGTTTCTGATCTGGGCAAGGGAAAGAGGGTGGCCCTGCCGAGGATCCTGACGAGGCTGCTGAAAGGAGAGCTGCCATTGCGGCGGTTGAGAGATTCAAGGCGAAGGAAGCGCAAGCGGGCCTACCTGGTTTTAAGGGAGCCCTCTGTCTTGGGATAACATATGATGGGAAATATATATATAAATCTCATGCATTGGTTATATTGAGAAGCCTCTAATACTAAATTGCTAATTAAACATAACAAAAAATCCATTGGATTCCTCCACACCCTCTCATCAAGAAGAATCTTGATGGATGTACCCTTGGCAATCCAGGAATTTCAGGAATTGGGGAGTCATTAGAAGCTAGAATGGCACCATAATGGCTCTTCACTTGGTCCTTATTGGATATGGGGATGCTACAAGGGCAGAACTGTTGCAGTTTTACAAGGGTTAAGGATGGGGCAAATCACAATTATAAAAAGCATGGTGATGCAAGGAGATTCTAAAGTCATGGTTGGTTAGTTTTCTAACAACAACAGCAAGTAGGAACATGGAGATACAGGTATTTGTTAAGGGAAGTTAGAGGAAACAAGGGGTGAATAGAAATTCTTTATTTTGGGAAGGGGGACAGCTGACAGCATAGCTGTGCTCTCAGCTTTGTAACCATAAGATGTAATATTCGGTTTTATTAATAGAATTATTCTCTTTGTTGCTCATTAAAAAAAATTAGAAAACTGGTGACTGAACTAAATGCAACATTTAGTTCGAAAGCTAGAAGTGCCAAATGCCAATGGCTTGGCTGATGCTTTGTCCAGGCAAAGAGCTCTAAGGGATCATCTATTTGGGGGAGGGAGGTTCAAATGGGGAACTTAATGTAAAATTCATATACAGGGCAGTTCAGGCACAGAATACTTTGTCTATGCACACTTTCATTCTTTATAATTCTTAATAAAATTTTTATCGTTATCAATCAAAAAAAAATTCTAATGGACAAAAGGGGATGATATAAAAACACAGCCCACAGGAAACATAACTAAGAAGGAAGCAATAATAAAAGAGAATGTTGGATGTAATACCTGCAACCACACAAGTTTCTCAAGGGAATAGAATGAAGACTGCTTTGAAACTCTGAATGATTCATGAAAATAAATTACATATTGGAAAATGCCCAAATTTGATAAAATATCAAGGAAAATAACTACAAAATTCCTGTTCAAACGTCCAGAAATCAGTCTATCAAGGCAAAAATTGAACAGTAAAATACAACAGTCGACCTGGCTAAAAACAAAGCAACTGAGGCTGGAACAAAACCCATGTGCCAGTAGCCAGCTGATGAGGGCACAAATTACAAGACAACCAACAAAATCAGGCTCATTAATATATATAGAACAGTTGATGTAGTAAAACTTGATAATGGTCTTATCAACAGAGGTGCATCTGAAGTACTTCCAGCAGGGGCATTTGCTGGAGGAAAGCCAGGAAGGGAGCTAACTCCTGGTAGCACAGAAGTCTTAGGTGTAGTTGGCCCCACACCACCTGCTTCAGTAGGTGCAGGTGCAGATGCTGGAGCAAATAAGGAACCACCAATCGCAGAGGTAGGTGGAGCTACCAGTGGAGGAAATTGATGAACCCCTGCATAATTCATAGAAATCAAGTATAAAAAAACAAAGCATCCATAATTACAAATAAACAAAGCAATCATTTCAATCAAGAGATCAACATCCACCTGGGCATCGAGGTTGAAGAGACACTGACAACCTGCAAAAGTAAAAAAAGATAGAACTGAATCATTCAACAACCAACATAACTCCACCTTATATGGAAAAAAAAAATCGCATCTATAAATAGAAGGGGGCATTCGGTCAAAAGGAGAAAGCAGAAGAGAAAACAGCATGAGCCCATAGCAAGCTTACGTTGTGACAATGGTGCCATTTACAAAACCACCATAACTACAAGAAGTAACATTGCAACCTGCACTGCTGGACTGCACGGTCACGTTCCCGAGCATGAGGTTACTGTTTCTGCATTGCATGCTCGAACAAGAAACCGCCAAAGAAGCCGGTGTGCAGTATAAACTGAAGGAAACCCACAGCCAAACAGATTAACATACAGAATTACAGACTACCGTTTTTTAATAAATATAAAATATATATCATATGAACAACTGAGAATACAAGAACACTATCAGAATGTATAAAATTGTTGGATTACTTGAGATTCCCTGGCCCACAACTGCATTGTACGCAGTGACTTGCAGTGATGGCATAACTCCCATTTGGAACAATCAACCCAAAATCCGCCGAATATCTTGGGAAATTGGAAGCACATGCTGCAATAGAAGAAACACAGGAAACAGGGAGGCCAAAGACCCATCTGTAAATAAACTTATCCACAAATTAGAAAAATACCAATTACACAAACAAAATTAGTCATAAACCAACATTTTCTCCTGTTAATCAACACTCAGACATCCAAAACAAGGAAACACAGAAAAACACACATTTACTTCATAAGTGGTTAACTACGACTGTTGCAATGCTTTTAAGCAAAACCCATTAAGAAGAAACACACTAAAAAGGCATAGCTTTATGTGAGACGGTTTCAAAAGAACCAACTTGTGAGCACCATTAAAACTGTGAAAAAGGAAAATATGAAGTTACCGGGCAATGGAACGGAAATAATATCACCAGCTTTTATTGATGGATTGCCCATAGCATTCACATTCATGATATCCGTTATCGTCGTCGAATAACTTGCAGCTATTCCCGCCAATGTATCCAGAGGCCCCACAACGTAAGAAAGAAAAACCGCAGGAAGAGAGTTATCCGTCCCATTGAAGCAAGTACAAGGAAGGGGAACAGCAAGAGATAGTCCAACATCAAGCACCGACGGATCGGCTATCGAATTAGCATCTCTGAGCTGATCGGCAGAGACGAGGCCAGAGTAGATGTTGTCAGCAATGTTGGCAAGGGTGTCGGAAGGCCGAGTCTTGTAACGGGTTGCCACGGATTTGCGGATACCATCGACGCAAGAGCAAATCACCGGCACTTTGAGGAAGAGCCGAGCCGGAAGAATGTGGTTCTCGACGTCGGGGTAGGAGATGTCGATGGCATTGGCGAGCAGGAGAGCGATTGGGTCGACCTGGAAAAGAGTGGCGACCTCGGAGACCTTGAGGTCAGTGTAGAGGGTGTACCCCACGAGGGCATTGCAGGAATTCGAGTTGGAGCATGGCTCGATTGTTGATTTGGAGGTAACAACAGCCACATGCGACGTCAGAACCAAGAAGAAGAAGCTGAAGAAGGGAAATGGATTTGTCTGTTTCGGCATTTGAATGGGGTTTTCAAGGGTTTGAGGTTCTGGGTTTTACTGGTTTTGCTTGCTTCGCCTGCTCTCTCACAGGTCACAACTCTTAGGAGGCGGAGAATAGTAAAGTAGAAGAGGAGAAGGAACTTCAAGAAGAGTGAGAGAAGCTAAAGGCGAGGAAAAGGGAGATCGATTCTGATCCTCACACCTGGCGCCTCACACGCACATCCTATAATGCATTGAGAACATTTCCCGTATTTATTTGTTATTTATTCACTAGAGATGTTCCCGATGCACGGTGGATGTGCATTTGAAGCGCTCATTTGTGAGGAACAGAAATTGTTAATTTGTGTACAGACAAGAGCTGAATTCTCGATCGACGAGTCGCATGGAGCCCTGAATATCTTTCTGGTGGACCAAATTACCCTTAATTCAAATTTTATGACAAATAAGAAAAATCAGTTTTTCATTTTCCCACCAAAACAGTTGACATGGGAATCCCTAGATGAGGACAATGAGTTGATCATGACCATCAATTTAATATACCTTTTATGGGATAATAATAGACTAGAAACCACCGAATTGTTCAAAATGCCATAGATAAGTTTGAATTGGTGATAGGGAGTAAATGCCAATGGACCCCACCGGCCGAAAAAAGATCCTGTTGTAGGCCCCACTTCAATTCACATCTATGTGAAAGGTGCCAAAGATCCAATGGTTGTAGTGGGGTACCAGTTACCACCCCAACCCCAAAGTAAAGCCTACTTTACGATTCCTTTTTCGCAATATTGCCAGTTGGCCAAACCTGGAATTTTTGGAATGTGACGATGCTTTGTGGCTTTGAGAAGTTATTGTTGGTTTGTTTGGAGAGATGCCTTTGAGGGTAGACCAAATGGACACGCCATTCCTTGGGCCCAATCATCCAGTGTCATCAGACGATGGATTTGTGGCTTGTGGGCCCATGGTGATATATTCATAACCTTTTCTTGTAGTTTTTCCTTCAATCTCAACCTTTTCGGCTTTTCCTTCGAACCAAACACAGCCTTACGTTTCAGACTTGAATTGCACGACCCATGGACGATGGAAATTTGGCGCAGGAGTAGAGCTGCACAGGAGCTGAACCGTGAATAAAAATTGTATGAATAGAGCGGGAGGGCGCAGTTTGGAAAGGGTTGGAGAAAATCACGGACTAGCCAAACTGTTGGTGGGACATGTCAGGGACTCAGCAGGTCTGATTATTGACGTGTGCAGTTTGTTGACTGTGAATCTGTGATGCATTGAACTGCGATTCTGAGTTTCTGAATTCTGAAGACTAATAGGCAATAGCGCAAAATCCTCAAAATGGGCCCCCAAAGGAGATTATTAATTTCTTACGGACACAAATTGGGCGGGCTGGGTCGGGATTAAGTTCAACGGGCCCAATCTTAAGAATTGGGAGTAAAGTTTGAGCCGGGCTGGAGTTCGAGTTCAAGTCTGAACTGTCTGATTGGGCTTGGACTTGGTGCCGGGTTCAGGTTGGTCAATCAGTCCACACTAAAATGGAATATAAATGTGTTGATGCTATTGCTCGGAATGGATCGAGGACAAGTCAATTCGCTCCTAATCAGAGGTGTGACCGAGGTGTCTGAGGTCTGAGGTGGCCGAGGACTAGTAGGTCTGTCTTACAATGAGTGAATGAAGGAGGGCATCAGTATGAAGGGTATGAGGTGGACGAGTTCTGAGGTGTTAGTACTCAAATGAGGCCAAAGAGTTCATAAGTGCTAGGAAGAGAATCCAAGCTCCAATCCTTTACCTAGAGAGAGTTACCTTCTATTTATACTTGAGCCATCCAGGAGGTTGGTGAGCTCGGACGGTCCGGATGCGGTCCCTACAAAAGGAGCGTGGTTATCCGAGGTCGCCAAATGATGTTGCGCTATTGGTTCTACAATGCACGCCGAGCTTTGTTCTGTGCGTGCCCTGATTGGGTCCATTCTAACGCTACCGCCTAACATGTGTCACCCTGCCACACGCGCCTGCATCATTTGCCCCCCACTCTTGAGGCCGTGGTGGATTTCTGAGCTGAGGGCCTCGGCTTTGGCCAAAGGGAGTGTGCCAATTGTGCGGTGGGATGCGTCGTTGGTCCTTTTGGGTAAGGGCCTCGACCTTAGTTTGTCGAGGAGGAGAATGACGTGGCTTGCGGTGGCATCGGCTTGATCTTCCTTCCCTTCTCTAAGGGATGTTATAAAGGCTCCTTCTGTTGGGAGGCTTTGGCCTCGACTTCGAGGCCATTGCTGTAGGTGGACGAGAGGAAACCTTACCCCCTACCCTGTTTCCGTGCTGGTGTAGACGCAAGTCCGTGGAGGCCTCGGCTTCGGCCGTGGGAGCCGAGGGCAGGGCACTTGGGTGCTCAAGTTGGTGACTTAACTGCCTACGGGGTGGAACTCGCCGTCATCAGCCCGCGATCCGTTGAGGAAACGGGTCTTGGTGCCAGATCTGAGTCGTGCGTGACACGGGTCTTCGAACTGACGAATTAGGGTCGTGTCCGTGACGGGTTATGGTGTCGTGCCTGTAGGGGAGACGGGATCGAGGCGAGCAAGGTCATACGTTCACTAGGTTAGCACGGTTGGGTGAACCAGCGACTTGCGGTGAGAGAACTGGTCGGTACGCTCGGTGTCGTTTCGTCTTCCCCAGACGAGCGACGCTTGTCGGTCAGCGGATAAGACCATATGGGCAGTTGCTGCACAGTCGTTGGATTGGGTGTCATCTGGGCCATCCATTTTCCTTTATATAGGGGCCTTAGTCACGTTTTTTCTCGCCACTTGCTTTCGAGTGCCCTTGCCTTCAAGAGACCTTTGCTTCCTAGACCCCTCGACTTACTCGCTTTCCTTAGAACTTCCCAACCTTCGTCCTCACATAGGTAAACACTTCATCATACCTCTCGAGAGCAAGCTCTTATCGGACCCCCTTGCACGCCAGTTCCGGCCAAAGCTCTTCGGTAGCCGAGGTCCTAGCTCTGAGGCGTGAGGTTGATGTGTTGAGGGAGAGGACTACCCCCGAAGGTGCCGAGTGTGACCAATGGGGCGATGACGTTCCTTGTGAGAGCACTGCATTTGCGACGTCGAGGGAGGCCGAGGGGTCCCCCCAAGTGGTAGAGGGGGAAGAGGTTCCTGAGCCCAGCAAGAGAATAGTGGCTGAGTATGCTACCCAATGGGTGATGATATGTCATCTGCCACATTCAGAGTACAACAGTACTCTTGACTTGAAACATGTGAAATCCTTGGCTAGTAGACCTGTTCACGAGCCGGGCTTTGGGCTTGGCTGACACTATGTCAGGCTTGGGCTTCGGGCCGAGCCCCATTCAAAATTTGGCAAAAGCCAAGCCCGAGTCTAGTCCACGAACAGGTCTATTGGCTAGAAGATATTACATTCCCCAGTCCTATAGATTAAGGTTCCTAACACCGGTGATCGGCCAAGGACGCCAGAGGAGGGCGAAATATGTATCTATCAGCACTTCCTGGAGTTCGGCCTCAGATTTCCCCTCCATCCTCTGGTCTCCGAGCTGCTGATGTGGTATGGGGTAACCATTAGCCAGCTAGCCCCTAATGCCCTTAGGACTATTATTGCCAAGCTAGTGGTGGCTCGGCTTCAGGATGTGGACCTCATGCCGAAGTTATTTCTTGCTATATTCATGTTGAGGTCGCAAGATACCRAGGCTGGCATGTATTATTTCCACCCATGGAGAGGCCAACCCATAGACAACCCTTCATCCGCCCAAAACTTGAAGAGCAAGTTCTTCTTCATTTCCATTCCCGAGGGTTGGTCATTTAGGTCGGGCTGGGGGGAGATGAAGGGATGAGGGATCCATCGTATAGACGCCCAAACCTTGCAGAATAAGAGGCGAATTTCAAAAAAAAAATTCTCTCCCTTCAACCGGGAATCGCATTCCCTATTTAGAAAATCATATTTTCAAAAATCAATCTTGAACCATAAACTAAACCAGATCTGAACCAAAAGGAGTAGGAGAGGATTATACCTAATATGGAGAAATAATATCTCTCAATGAATGTGTTCACGCCAAAAAAAAGATCCAAAGACTGCTCCCACTGAAAATGGCGTAGTGTAGGATGGAATAGAATCAGCAGTATTCTTCTCCAAGAATTCTGTCATTCGCAAGAAACAGCATGATGGCACGTGAGCACAGCTTCCTATCAATTCTTTCTCAAAGAACTGATGTGAAGATCGAATCTTGACTTCTCCCACAACTGGAGATCGATCTCGATGTCTGGTGGCTGCAAGAAGGAGGCGGCAAAAAAGATCTTTTGCAGGGATTGCAGAAATCTTTCTTCTATTATTTCAGCTCTGAAGAGGATCCGATTATGTGTCTTCTTAAGGCTGCCGCCCCCTCCTGCTTTTGTAACCCGGATCAGACCTCTCTTTAGGTAATAAGGATAAACCCTTATCTTATCTACAGATTATATCAGCCTTCTCTAATCTCATTAGGAGGTTTCTAGATTTGAATCATATTCAGATCTTGACTCTCTGATTGATAGGGTTAAGACCCTATCCTATCTGCTGATCCATCTCAGAATTCGCCCATATTTAACTTATTAAATAAGTCCAATTCGAAATGGGCTTTAGGCCCATTAAGCTTATATGCTCACTTAACCTTCCTAACTG